CCATACCCACACAATATTTTTCTATTGGTTGCCTATGATTCGGGTTAGGTAAAGAAAAGAAACTGATTTCATTCGCTACACTCTAATTTTTAATCCCTCTAAATCTTTGCAAACAGATGATATGAACCTTTGATATTTCAAACTTTTACTTTTGAATCTAGCAGAATGCGTAGTTTTAGGATTAGATTAGATCGAAGGATCGGAATATCAGAGTTTGAGACCAATAAACAGATTCTTTTATGGTCGAGCGCTGCGGCTCCGAATTTATTGTAAATAAATTCGTATGAAATTCTAAAAACAAAAAAATTTTAAGTTTTATATTTTTGTTTTTTAATAAAGTATCTTTATTTTGAAACTTTTTCCAGTGTAATTTCTTATTTGAACAAAAATTAAGGAAGGTTCGGAAATCAAACTTTGAAAATTTTCAACGAATTCTTCCAGAGCATTGATCAGGAACGTGATTATGGGATTAAAACATTAATAATAAGATATTGGATTAATTGATTCATAGAATCCAGTGGAAAGGGATTTATAAATACTGTAAATAGGAATTCATGTGTACAGGGGATTTGCTGATAAAAATTAGGAATTTATTAGCAAATTTATTTTACTATGGAATAGTCGATAAAAATTTATTAGAGCTAGCTCTAAAAGGGGCAGTATAGAGAATAGAAATTTATTTGTATAGAGAATAAAATTTGATCATAGTATAGAGAATAGAAATTCATTTGTATAGAAAATAGAAATGTATTAGTATAGAAAATAGATATTCATTAGTTTAGAGAATAGTAATTTATTACTATAAAGAATAGAAATTCATTAGTATAGAAAATAGAAATTTATAAGTATTAGAGAGTGGAAAATTTATTAGTATAGAGAATATAGTTCATTTGTATAGAGAATAGAAATTCATTAATATTGAGAATAGAAAATTCATTAGTATAGAGAAAAACAATTTATTATGTATAGAGAATAGAAATTCATTAGTATGGAGAGAATAGAAATTTATTAATATAGAGAATAAAAATTCATCAGTATAAAGAATAACAGACATTTTATAGATTTAACAAAAAGTTAGTAGGCTAGGTAGTTATTCAGAATTTTAAATCGGTATAAATTTAAATAAATTTTTTCTTTTTTAAATTTACTCTTATTAAAAAAATTTAACCTAGTCTATAAGACAAAAATAAAGAAAAACCATTTTTATAAAATATTATAGAACTCATTTTTACTTTATCATAATCATATCAATTATGTGTTGTGAAAAAAAGGTTTAGGTTTGTTTCTACGGATTATTATTGGTGTTGAAAGCAATTAGTAAAAACTATGATGTTCAATTATTTCTTCTCTCTCTATCCCATCTCTACCATCCTGAGATATGAATAAAAACTTACAGATATCATGGGGCGAGACTTGTCAAGAGGTTATGAGCAGTGGCAGTGGTTGCAGGTACATCCCCCTCCCACCCATCGCACCCCTCCCCCTCCCCATTTTTTAGCATGAGCGTGTGTGATAGGAGCGGGCCGCGCCTTCCACACTATTTAGTTAAGAGTATCTGAGAGCCGGGCACAAACTCTGCAACGCATGCATTTTCTTCTTTAAAAAATAAAAATTCAAGCTAATAAGAAATACATTTTATCTTTCTTACTTTGTCAGGGGTTAGTTTTTCTTACGATGTTGAGGAATGTAAGACAATAATTTTAAATTCGAATGTTTTTATTTCAGATATCCTTGCCAGTCCGAAATCTGAGTTGCAAGGTTTGGAGAGAGGCTGGAACCTGCCCCGGGCCGAACGTCCAGAAACAGGACTTTCAAAACCCAAAATTTTCCAATCTAATCAGTTTTGGGTTTTTGATTCTAGATTCTGCAATTTCAAAAACAGAAATTTCAATAAAATTAAAACTTTAAAATTTATAAAATAAAAAATAAAAAAGTGTGTATTGGTCAGGTGTAATATTGGGCACCCTGTCGGCCGCAGCGGGCTGAGAGGCTAGCGGCTCCGCGCCCGGAATTCTGCATGTATTGGAATCTGACTGACCAGTCCAACTTGGCTCGTCCCGCCCTAATACTAGTCCGGAGATAGCAGATAATTCTTGCCAATGTTACTGTGAGTATGGGAAGTGATAACCAGGAAAATGGTTGAACATGGAGAAAAATCTTTTCTCCCAAAACCCAAGGAATAATCGTCTGACCAGAGATAAAAGAGTTGACTACTCGAATAATTCTTCCTGTTTTGAATGTCAAATTAGTTTTGAATCTCAGAAATCTCTCCAGGTTCATCTTCAGTACCACCGGGATAGACTTTTAACTAAGTGGGCTTCCGAGGCGGATAGTTCGACTCCGCCACAACCCAGTTATCAGGAACCTTCCGCCCGCTTGACCACTGTCATAATTCCTGGTGTCGAGACTAAAAGATCCGCAGGTCCGGTTTCTACCACCTCAATGCAAATCAGCATGGCCCAATCGATGGGAATCCAGCAGGGAGCTCCACTTCATCTTTCAACCCATCATTCAACCAACATCCTTCTCAGCTCCGAGTCCCAGGTGGAGCACTGTCCCTCCGTTCCTTCCTTACCCTCCATTAATGCAGATGTTTCAGATTTCTTTAGTCAACTTGAAAGCAGTTCTGATAGTTCTGCTATTCTAACCATAAACAGTTTCACATCTAGCTCCGATGTAAAGATAAACCGTTTTCATTCCTACGAGGGTAGATCCTTGCAAGGATTTCCTAATCCTACCAGTAGTAGCACCACCATGAGCCAGGGTTCTCTTCCTGCACTCCAATCCTACCTAACATATAACGCAAATTTCAATGACGGGATAATATATGAGAACACGAATGATTATCTGGGAGGGTTTGCTGCCGAAATCCCTCCTCATGATCAGAGCGGAGAGGAAATCTGGGACCTGGACAGTAACACAGTGAGAAGATACAACCCTGTACCTGATCCTGTATCTCCAGGTCCTATTCCTACAACTCCAACCATGTACGGGCAACAGCTACAGCAGTTACCTGTGCAGAACAAGCCTGGTTGGGAACCTAACTCCTCCATGTATCCTCAATATGGTTCCATCAGAGGAACTCCTCAGTCCCTTCCTCCTCAACCCATATCTCCAGGTATAGGAGGACCCTGGATAGGTGGATCTCTACCCGTGAAAGGACAAAGTGTTGTTGACGCTAAAAAACCTAAATCTTATCAATGTGAGGCATGTGATAAATGGTTCACTAGCTCCGGACACTTAAAACGTCACTTTAACACAACCTTACATAAGAATGCTATGAAGCAGAAGGAGGGTTATGTTGAAGGTATGAACGGCGGAACCTTCTCTATTCCCTCTGTAGAGAGCAGAGGTATACCCTCACCCTGCATGTCTTTAGGTGAGGAATCAAGTCAGAGCTCTGTGTGTGACGAGTTATCAAGTCAATCTACGCAGTCGAGCCAGGTTAGCTTAACACCGGTCAACACGCCTGGTCCTAGTACTGTCTCTATGAACCCTATTACCTCCCAGTCCGATTCTCCGAACTCAAATACCTCGTCTCATGTTCCTACAATGTCTCCAAGCACGCAGATGCTTAGTCCACCTCCAAGTTCTGTTGGTATACCTGATACAGCCTCCTCACCTCTGAGTGGATTGAGCCAGCTGGTTGGGATAGCTCCTCCATCCACTCCTCAACCCTCTATATCTCCGCTTACACCTTGTAGTGGAATCTCGTTGTCTCCCAATGGAAATCTCAACGGTGGTTCACCAGCCCAGAAAAACCGGTTCTCTCCCTTTAGAGCTGGCCCAGCCAGCAGTGTTAGTTACAAAGTACAAAGTTTAGAGCAGAGAAGTTATCCTAGTTATCCAACAACATTCCAAACTGTATCAGTCTCAGCTCCACAAGTTCCTCACAATTATAACGATATTTACATGTCGCCACAGAGCTCTTACCGTAACGACGGGTACAGTACAGGGTACACAGGCCAGTACCAGACACAGTACCAGCCTATCATATACAACACATCCTACGAGATGGGAAACCATACAAACTATCTGAGCCACAACACATACACCGACATATCAGGGTATGTCCCGATATCTGGAGATGGAATCCATATTTTCCAGGATACTGTCCGAACCTTGAAACTGGAGGAGAGGGATAGTCCAGAGGGAAGCGAGGGTTCGGAGGTCTCCATCAAAACTGAGAACGGTGAGTTTCGGTGTAATGAGTGCAACAAAGTATTCAACCGAATGTGTTACCTGAAGCAGCACAACAAGAGTTTCCACAACGGCGAGAAACCCTTTAAATGTACTCAGTGTGGGAAACGGTTTCCCGTTGAAGTCCTGTATCAGGTTAGTTTTCTCTTTTTATTCTTCATCATTCATCCTTCCATCAAACCAACATTATCTCCATACTACATTTTGTTTGTCCAGCGTAAAATTTTAATATTTAAATCCTTGAGCATTTAAAAAATGATAAAATAGAATTTTTTGTTTTAAGAATGTTTTGTGAAATCATTCATCATAATTTAACTCTTACTACTTATTTCTTGTTATGACTTCTCTTTTCTGGTTCCAACCTCTCCTTGTCCCTGGTTCCAACCTCTCCTTTGGTTCTAACCTCTCATCATCCCTGGTTCTAATCTCTCCTTATCCCTGGTTCTAACCTCTCCTTGTCACTGGTTCCAACTCTCCTTTGGTTCTAACCTCTCCTCATCCCAGGTTCTAATCATTCCTTGTTCTAACCTCTCTTTATCCCTGGTTCTTACCTCTCCTTATCCCTGGTTCTAACATCTCCTCATTCTTGTTTCCAAGCTATCCTTATCCCTGGTTCTTACATCTCCTCATCCTAGGTATTAACCTCTCCTTATTCCTGGTTCTAACCTCTCTTTTTCTCTGGTTCTAACCACTCTTTATCCCTGGCTCTAACCTCTCGTTATCTCCGGTTTCAACCTCTCCTTATCCCTGGTTCTAGCCTCTCTTTATCCCTGGCTCTAATATCTGTTTATCCTTGGTTCTAATATCTGTTTATCCCTGGTTCTAACCTATCCTTATCCCTGGTTCTAAACTCTTTTATCCCTGGTTCTAACCTCTCTTTTTTTCCATGGTTCTAACCTCTCTTTATCCCTTGTTCTAACCTCTATTTATTCCTGGTTCTAACCTCTCCTTATCCCTGGTTCTAACATCTCTTTATCCCTGGTTATAACCTCTCCTTATCCCTGGTTCTTACCTCTCCTTATCCCTGGTTCTAACCTTTCCTTATTCCTGGTTCAACCTGTCCTTATCCCTGGTTCTAGCCTCTCTTTATTCCTGGTTCTAACCTCTCCTTATCCCTGGTTTTAACCTTTCCTTATTCCTGGTTCATCCTGTCCTTATCTCAGGTTCTAGCCTCTCTTTATTCCTAGTTCTAACCTCTCCTTATCCCTGGTTCTAACCTTTCCTTATTCCTGGTTCAACCTGTCCTTATCCCTGGTTTTAACCTCTTTTTTTTTATTCCTGGTTCAAACCTCTTTTTTTTATTCCTGGTTCTAACTTCTCCTTATCCCTGGTTTCAACCTTTCCTCATCCCTGGTTCTAACCTCTCCTCATCCCTGGTTCTAACCTCTCCTTATCCCTGGTTTTAACTTCTCCTTATCCCTGGTTCTAACCTCTCTTTATCCCTGGTTCTAACCTCTCTTTATCCCTGGTTCTAACCTCTCTTTATCCCTGGTACTATCCTCTCTTAATCCCTGGATCTATCCTCTCTTAATCCCTGGATCTAACCTCTCTTCATCCCTGGTTCTAACCTCTCCTTATCCCTGGTTTCAACCTCTCCTTATCCCTGGTTTCAACCTCTCCTTATCCCTGGTTAGAACCTCTCCTTATCCCTGGTTCCAACCTCTCCTTATTCCTGGTTCTAACCCATTCTTATCCCTGGTTACAACCTCTCCTTATCCCTGGTTTTAATTTCTCCTTCATGGTATTGTATGACGCTTATCAGATTTGATTTCGTTGGTTCTCTTTGATGTAATTTGGTTTTCTTATTATTCTTTTTTACAAATTTCTAATTCATCCCAAGATTTATTTTCTGGTTTTTATTGTTTAAATCATTCCGACCCTTCCTGATGCACGGTTTAAATTCATCTTCAACTTTTTTTTCATAATTTACTAAATAATTTCACCTGTTCTATATAATTCAGTCTTAATCTTGATTCCAAGCTTATGTGCTCAATACATCCTAATCCTTGATTAAATATTATTATCTCTAGTTTAAATTTCTTTCATTATTCTCTCTCTTTAAACTGATTTTTCCTGGACATTTTTATAATTTTTCATATTTAGTTTTGGATCTTTTCTTAGTTTATTTAAATTCTGTATGAACCCTGGTTTAATTAATATTGAATTAAACCTTCAGTTCTATATTTTGGACAATGAACCCGAAATTAATACAAAAGCTAGCTTTAAAATAATATAAACAACTTTGCTGGAAAAGTTTTGTTTATATTATTTTCAAGGTACCCCCCTCCCTCCCCTTCCCTGCTCCCTTCCCTCCCTAAGGAAAGAAGTAAATTCAAGGTTGATGAACACGAAGCTCCTTTCCCAGGATTCATAGGATAATCTAGTTTGGATTCGCGCCAGTTAAATCTTTCTCCCAGCTGATCCAGGATATGTGTAGTCTGTCAAAAAAGAAAGCTCTCCCCTCCCCAGCACCCCATTTGTCAAGAATTAATAAAAATGATCTAAAAGTCTAATCCCTAGGAAGGTTTAGTTTTCTCTCCTACATATTGTTTGAAGTTTAGCCTAGCACGAGATTACCCTCAATCAATACAGTTAGTTTAAATGGATCTAGACAAGTTAGATTAGTTACTAAAACTCAGTTTTTCTCCCCTCTTGGTTTCAGAGTCCTTCGCTCTAATCCAAACTTTGTTTTTAAACCTCAAAGAGAATAAAAACAAATGTTGATTACAACAATCTCGAGATGGAGGGTTTAATGTATTGAACCCGGGCTCTAGACATTTCTCAGCTTCAGGATTCAATCAAACCTTGGATTCAAACCTTTCTTATAAGTCTTTCAGATTATTTTTAATCAAAAATTAAACCTATTTAAAGGAAACCAATCAAAAATAAACCTATTTAAAGGTCACCTAAGTTAAGACTAAATTATAAGTATATCCTAGATAATAGACCTTGCAATAAATTCATTAAGACTAATTAACCTTGTAAAAGGTTTCTTCCACGCGATTTACGACTCGTTAAAGTAGTAATGGTAGTACTAGTTCAGAAAAAGTATGCCAATTTTAGAGCATGAATGAAAATATGCAAATTTGAAAGTGTTAAAAACAAATCCCACAAATTGGTTTTGTAAGAGTAGTGAAAAAACAAGTTAATCTTTTTTGTAAATTTTTGGGCAAGTTTCATAATCTTGAACAAGTGACAAATGAATCCTGTGTTAGATCCGTTGCTTCATTAGCTCCGGAGTAAACGTCCTTGTTCTCGATAATGATATTGTACACACTTACCTAGATATAAGATCTGAAGGTTCGGACCATTTAATAGGAAAAGTTTACCCATATCCGGGTAATTCAACCCTAATACCAATTTGAAGACGGAATAAAAGAACAGTTATAGGTACAATTCCGTTCATATATAAAAATATCTTTTTAATTTTTTAATTTAGTTAAGATTTAGAACTAGCAAGGTATAAATGCGCATGGTTAAGATTAGGACTTGTTCGTAATGATTTTCGAAGATTTTATCCGTTATCAAACTAAATGTTCTTTAAAAAGCTTCACATATTGAGTGGGGGATTTTTTCTGAAAAGATACAGCCCTGGAGAGTTTACTAGAAAAGAAAAGATGTTTGTGGAGATGATTAGAATAAGATGAGAATTGGGGAAACTAATCAGATAATGCTGGATTGGCAAAGAATGACTAAAAAATGAATAGGTCAATTCCATAGTCTATTGTGAGAAGGTTGGCAGGAGACAATGAAAAGAATACATTCTTCAGATCATCATATGATTAATTTTTACCTCTTCCACAACTTTATCCATCCAAATTACTGTTTGATAAGACCTTGCCCGAGAGGTTAGATTTTTAAGGTGTTTTATCCTCTATCGTATATTTTATAATTTTTCCTCGTTTTCCCTTGAATTTTCTCTAGATCTCTAGATCAGCGTCCAGGTTTTTTAGTAACTAGGTTTTACCGAATTGTAGTTTATCAAGTAACTAGGTTTTACTGAATTGCAGTTTATCAAGGTTTTACCGAATTGCAGTTTATCAAGTAACTAGGTTTTACTGAATTACAGTTTATCAAGTAACTAGGTTTTATCGAATTGCAGTTTATCAAGTTACTAGGTTTTACTGAATTGCAGTTTATCAAGTAACTAGGTTTTACCGAATTGCAGTTTATCAAGTAACTAGGTTTTACTGAATTACAGTTTATCAAGTAACTAGGTTTTATCGAATTGCAGTTTATCAAGTAACTAGGTTTTACCGAATTGCAGTTTATCAATTATCTAGGTTTTACCGAATTGCAGTTTATCAAGTAACTAGGTTTTACTGAATTGCAGTTTATCAAGTAACTAGGTTTTACCGAATTGCAGTTTACCAAGTAACTAGGTTTTACCGAATTGCAGTTTATCAAGTAACTAGGTTTTACCGAATTGCAGTTTATCAAGTAACTAGGTTTTACTGAATTGCAGTTTATCAAGTAACTAGGTTTTACCGAATTGCAGTTTATCAAGTAACTAGGTTTTACTGAATTGCAGTTTATCAAGTAACTAGGTTTTACCGAATTGCAGTTTATCAAGTAACTAGGTTTTACTGAATTGCAGTTTATCAAGTAACTAGGTTTTACCGAATTGCAGTTTATCAAGTAACTAGGTTTTACTGAATTGCAGTTTATCAAGTAACTAGGTTTTACCGAATTGCAGTTTATCAAGTAACTAGGTTTTACTGAATTGCAGTTTATCAAGTAACTAGGTTTTACCGAATTGCAGTTTATCANATCTATCCGTGTATCTATATATATCCGTCTATCCACACATCTATCCGTGTATCTATATATATCCGTCTATCCACACATCTATCCGTGTATCTATATATATCCGTCTATCCACAAATATATCTATCCTATCTTACTATTTTTATTCTAAAATATTTATTGCCGTAAGTTTTTTTATAATATTTCTATTTTCTTCTTTGCTGAATCCTATTAAATTAACTAATTAAATTAAATTAATTCATTTTGTTTTAAAATTATTTATCTCAATCTACTTGAAACTGTTAGAAAAGACCTAAAATTATTTTAAATTGATTTTTTTCCTAACTTCCACCTATTTACATAAAGTTATCCATTAATCAATTCTTTTCTTTGAAGACCAAATATAAAAACAATTTTTCTTCTATGATTCAGCAACTGCACATTTTTCTTAAATCTAGACGTTTTCTTTATCATTTTGTGTTTTATATTTTATCTTGGTTTTTATCGTATGTTTCTTTAATCTTCCTTCTTAAGTTTATTTTTTTTGTTTCCCATGCTTTATCTTACGCTTCTTGACATCAATATAAATTCCTTTTTTTTTCTTTAATTTCTTAGCAAAGTATTTTCTTTTTTTCCCTCTAAATTTTACTTCTTATTATCACGCTAATTCGGCAGTTTTTAATTTATCATTTTTATTCCGCCTTTTCTGTCATTTCCAATTTTTTTCTTTTCTTTCATTGTTCTTATTTTCACTTACTCCTTTTCACATTTTTTTATTATCTTCATTCCTCCTCTCCAATTTCCCTTTTACCCCCCCCCCCCACTCCAATAAAAAAGTTTCAACTGCGGAGGTCAAACTGGATTATTCAGATATTCTTTTTGTAAAGAAGAATAATATTAATCTTCCTCCCCTGGAAAATTAATTCTCAGAAGTGCCAAACTTCAAGGAAGTGAGGAGAAAATCTCAACCAAACTTTAAATTTATATTTTCAAAATAATCTAATAGAAGGAGAGCAGTTTTCTGTATAAAATATACAATCTGTATGCAGCATAATATTGCCTTAAACTTTTACAGGGTTCGGATCATAGTGTAGTTAGAATTTTATATTTTTATAACAAACTTGGTTTAACTCATTTTTAAAGTTTCAGATTTCATTTTTTCTTCTGTTTCTCAAGGTTTTTTATTTTGCTTGATGGTATTTGCTCCCTGATATGCTTTGATTTATCCCGTCCCGGCATATCTTGATTTTAATCGGCCTTCATGTTTACTCAAGACATGTGTTATTTATTGATTGCGCTCCGTGGCCTCTGTATACTGCGCTGTGCTTGATCAAAAATTAAGATTAACAAAAGATTTATTCACGAATTTATTGTCAGGTCATGTTGTGGAGTTGATAAGGATGTCTTTATGTCAGAAAAAGAGGCAACGAACCCCACTTTTGTATTACATTTCAAACATTTTTTACTACTTTTGTCCAAACTGTATATTTGATGATATTCCTATAAAATGTTGGATTGTTGGTGGAAAGGATCTGATAACGTGGTGACAACGAATAAATGGCTTTTATCGATTTTATGATAAACGATCTTTCTTCAGACTTTACTCGTCACATTTTCAATGTAAGGATCGGGAACCAAGAGCAGAATACATTAGCAAATCATTTTTTACCTAGCTGTCCAACCATTCGCATCATATACAGTCAGTTTACAATACTACGCCATAATTGTGCATTAGGATGCACGTATACAGATAATCTCTCTCACACGTGAATGGGTTTCTAATGACATAATTAGTGTTTGGTGAGAAAAATGAGAAAACATAAACTTTAAAACATTATCAACAACATTGAAGCCAGAAAGATTCCAAAAATCAAGCTATAAAAGTGTAATTTTGTGAATATATCAATTTGCAAAAAAAGCAAATCATTTTTTACCTAGCTGTCCAACCATTCGCATCATATACAGTCAGTTTACAATACTACGCCATAATTTGGAATTGAAAATAATATTCAATCAAAAGCTGTTTTTGCGGGTTTTTAAAACGTGGATTATAAGTTTTTGGTTATGAGCGTTGTTTTAAAGGTTGTATAGTGAGAAACAAGGTTTAGAATTCATCCTTGCAAGAATTGAAACATCTAGAGTAGAAAGAAGAAAGCGGGGGGAATTCGTATTGACCATCCGACTTTCTCCATCGGCATAATCCAGAAAATTTAAATATTGAGTTTCTTCACTCGAGCTCCTCTCTTCCATCAATATTCATGTGTTTTCATCCAGAAGAAAGGGGAATATTTGGATGTTTGACCGGGGAAAGGTTTTCAACTTTCCAAACTCTGTATTTTGAATTTGTGTTCGCTCTAAATATGCACAAACTACGAAGATTGGATTCTTGTGCTGGATCGATGAAAGTGAGACGAATTGTCTTTTTTTTCAATCGCCCCCCCCCCCCTCTCATAGATTTAGAAACGTTGGCATAACTCATTTTGTCGCAGTGAATGTATTTTACTTCATCACCCTTTTTGTGTTAAATATGATGATTAGAGGTCATGTTAGGTTTGGGTCGAACCAATCTTGAATTAAAAGGTTTGGATTGAATATTGGGAATTTAGAAAGGTTTTGCTCCTCCATTGATTGAATTTTACTGTTTTCTTGCAATCAGAACTTTGCCTAATCCTCCTTCTGAATCTAGATCTAGAATCTTTAAGTAACTTTAACACAGGAATATTTGTCATTTTCTTTCACAAATCTAATATTCAGATATTTAATCTATCTATCTTCTATTCAGATCTTTATTCCATCTATCTTCCATTCAGATCTTTAATCAATCTATCTTCTATTCAGATCTTTAATCTAGCTATCTTCTATTCAGATCTTTATTCTATCTATATTCTATTCAGATTTTTAATCTATCTATCTTCTATTCAGATCTTTAATCTATCTATCTTCTATTTAGATCTTTAATCTATCTATCTTCTATTTAGATCTTTAATCTATTAATCTTCTATTTAGATCTTTAATCTATCAATCTTCTATTCAGATCTTTATTCCATCTATCTTCTATTAAGATCTTTAATTTATCTACCTTTTATTTAGTTCTTTAATCCATCAATCTCATATTGAGATCTTTGATTCCCTATCTTCTATTTAGATCTTTATTTCATTGATCTTGTATCTAGATCTTAAATCCATCTATCTTCTATTCAGATCTTTAATCAATCTATCTTCTATTCAGATCTTTAATCCATCTATCTTCTATTCAGATTTTTAATCTATTCATCTCTATTCAGATCTTTATTCTATCTACCTAATATTCAGATTTTTAATTTATTAATCTTCTATTTAGATCTTTAATCTATCAATCTTCAATTCAGATCTTTATTCTGGCTGTAAAGACGACCAAAAACTCTAAAATATGACGATTTGAAGCTCGATTTTTGGTTTTTGCATTTGATTGAGTATTTTGAAGGCAAGAGAATGGACTAAATAAATTCCGTACAAGGCTACAAGCGTCTCCATAAAGTCTTTTCCTGTGTGGGTAACCCAATGATCATTGTTTATGAACCAAGGAAAATATATTTGCACTACAATGAAACTAGAGAAACTAGAGGTTTTTTCATGAAGGAGCTGGGTGGAAATATAGTTCAGTCCTAGCTGCATCTATGAAAAATATATGTAGTTGAACTACTGTACTAAAATGTACTAAAATTGTGAGTACTTTAAATGTAGGCAAGATTAGAAAGTACGAAAAGATCAAATGTCGCCTTAGACCTCGGAACAATGACGACATTTCTAAATATAAACCGAAAATTATAAAGAAAAATGGAATTTAAACCGGTCCCAATATTGCTGCAAGGAACAGTGCAATTTAACCCCTAGGCCCCCTGCATTGTATTGCAAATGTGCAATTTACTCCTCCCCTCGCCCTTCCACACAGAATATGGCAATTTACGCAGGGAAAATTACAGAGGCGCAACTAGGACTTTTGCTAGGGGGGGCAATATATTATTTTGATAGGGTTTGGGGGGGGTTACGGGGGGG